GGGAGGGAGGGGAAAAATGAGGAGCTGATACCAAGGGCTCAAGTAGAAAGCAAATGTTTTGAGAATGATGATGGCAACAAATGTACAACTATGCTTGACATGATGGATGTATGGATTGTGATAAGAGTTGTAAAAGCCCCCAATAAAATGATTTTTTGAAAATAACAACTAGGACAAAAAAGAGTATAGCATGGTACAGCTAGACCGGATATACACTGGTACAGATAAGAGCTCTGGACACAGGGAATCCAGGACGATGATCCCCCAGGAATAGTAAAGGGAGTAATGATACCAGGAGAGTAGGGGGACGGTGGGAGAGAAAGGGGACAAAGGGAGAAGCAATCACAGTGATCAATGTATAACTCCCTAGTCCCTCACCCCAGGGAGACCGAAGGGAAACCGCGGATGGTGTAGAAGATATGAAGATATGAAAATAATAATTTATCATTTATCAAGGGGTCATGAAGGTGAGAGAGGAAAAGGAGCTGATACCAAGGGCTCAAGTAGAAAGAAAATGCTTTGAATGTGCTTGATACAATTGATCTATGGATTGTTATAAAAGCTAGAAGAGGCCCTAATAAAATGATTTTTAGAAAGATAAAAGCAACCTGAGTATAAACATAATTTTAAACAAAAGTATAGCAGGGTCTGGAGACCAAAAGTTTGAGAACGGCTTACACAGTAAGTACTCAGCTCTTTGAAGGAGGGACTCTGAAGGAATGGAATTGTTCCATTGCATCACTAATGCACACAGGCCAGTAGAGTTAATGGTTATAAGGAAGGGAGACTGATCTTGAACAAAGAAAAAAACTTGGAAAAAATATGAAGTTATTTCCAGCTCACCAGATTATGAGTGGGAAATTGCTGACACAACTTCAGAGTTTCCTAATCTGTTATTTAAACACCACGATGATTAAATCCCTAACCTTCCCCCTGTAGCTCCCACCTCTCAGAGCTAAAATTTAACGAGAGAGCCAAGCCCAGCAGTGAAATGACAGGTGAGAAAGCCGCGCTCTAGCGAGGGCTTAGAGTTCTAGAAGGCAGGAAGGCGCTAGAAGGTCGTTTGGAGGTCACGCACATCTCTGATCCACTCGAAAGAAAGAAAACTAAGAGCCAGATTGTGGAAGCCACTAGACCCAGCTCACACAACCTCGGGACTAGAACTAAAATCATAACCCTAAGTCTAGACTTGGGGGCTGGAGTGTTCCCATCCCACCCCCACCCGCCTTCGCATGATATTGATGGTGAAGAGCTTGGCCTTGGCTTCCAGACCCAGGCTCCAGACCCAGGCTCCTGAGTCCTGCCTTCAAATAAAAGGGCTGGGAAGTTTCTCTTTTGAGCTAATAATTTAGGCTCACCCCCCACCCCTGGTCAATCCAGGTTCCTCTTCCTTCTTCTGTCATCTCCACCTCTGCCCCAGGTCATTTCACTCAGCATAGCGTGAGGACTGACTTTATTCCATGAAACCCTCTTAGGCTGGATTTCCTCTTGTCTCCTTTCTTTTCGTGGGAACGGGATTGGCTCTCACTGAGTTAATCACGTGTCACAAAAGCGAACTCTGTACCTTATGAGAGAGTGCAGTGGCAAACCACAACACCAGCAGGCCCACCGCTGAC